TTTTTTTCCTCCTTCCCTCTCTAACTTTCTCTCTCTCTAGAATATATCACGTGAATATTTCTAACCCCCTTTTACAACCTATAGCTATATATTTATACGCTAAATAAAATAACCTTAACACTTTTTCCAATCCAAGTTAACTTAAAAAAATATATATTAAAATATTAAAAAGGTAAGTAAAATATGTTACGTATATAATTTATGTATATGTTTATTAAATAAATAAATTATACACATTCCATTATTTATTAATGGATTATCCAATAATACTTAAGTTACCATAATATTATAAAGTAACTTAAAACATAACACGTATCAAATCTATGTATATTTTTATTATTTAAATATAAAACATATACATCAGATTAAATATTATTACCCCAGTTACCATAAAAGTAATTAATAAATTACTTTCCTTTTTATATATGTATATAATATATATATCTATATATATACATACACAACGATCCATGGGTAATAATCCATACACATCCAACCTCCTATCCAAGTAGTCCATGAGACCCAATTGGTTGGCCCATTACTACTAACCATAACCATAAAAGAAAAATAAAATAAAATAATAAAAGAAAAGAAAATATTTAATTTACAATTAATCAAAACACCATTTAAGCACATAATCTAATTAAACAATTAACACATAGACAAATACAAATTATACATAGACGTAAAATCAAATAATCAAGTAATACCTAATTCATTTAAATACATAAGTAATTAGTCAAATAATCAATTAAATAATTAAAAATACAATTAAAATAAATAAATAAATACCGAGACTATCCTTTTAAAATTAGGGGTATTACAAAAGTTGACAACTATTTTGGGACAGACCAAAAAGAAAAGCATAACATATTTTTTTGGGATAGATGGAGTGTATATATATATATACACACACACACACACACACAATATATTTATTTATATATACATTAAATTATATAATATAATATAATCTTACAATCCAAATCACTAAGTTTGTAGTAACTATCAATCTTATGGTTTACTCTTAATTTTCTTATGTCTTATCAATTTATTAGATGATTCTTTATTTTTTTATAGTGGATAAATTTTGAATTTTGGCTGTTTGTTGTTGAATTAGTTATTCTAAACGTATTAAATTATTAGCAATTCTAAATTTATTCACTTTAGTCCTAGAAGTGATGTAGAAGAATAAATTAAAAGTTAACATATTAATAGTTTTGAATATGTTGGTAACTTGGTTTATTGTTGTGTATGTGAATTTTAAAATATGAATATTTATGTAACAAGAAATAAATAAAGAATAAACTATGGAACCGAACTGAACCGAACGAAATCGGTTTTTCACGATTTGGTTTAGTTTGGTTCATTTAGTTAAATGGTTCGATTTGGTTCAAAATTTTATGAATCCGTTAGAATTAGTTTAATTTCGAAAAATTTTTAAATCGGTTCAAAATCGAATCGTGTGCACCCTAATCTTTTCCAACGAGAGAGATTTAGATCCAGTTATAACATGACATTAGGGTTGAAAAAGAGGGTGGGGACAAATACATGCAGGTCAAGTGAAGTTTTAAGAGGGAGTGGTTATAATTGGGGGTGGCAATTCGTGTTGGCGTGTCGTGTTCGTGTCGACACGGACACGATTAGGGTTGACACGAACACGAAATGATTATTAATCGTGTCTAAGACTCTTGACACGAACAAGATACGATTATTATACATGTAACACGACACGACACACATAACCTGTTTAATAAATGGGTCAAGATTTGACACAACACGAAAAGACACATTTAAGTCATGTTCGACACGAATAAGACATATTTTGCTAAATGGGTCATTTTTTACACGAACACGACACGTTTATCTGACACGTTTAGTTAATCGTGTCATAATCGTGTTTACAGGGTCAAACACGAACACGACACGTTTCGTTAGCGGGTCAATCCGTATCGACGCGATTATGATACGAACACGATTAACCCAAACCCTAACCCACTTATCTCGTGTCGTGTTGGCGTGTCGTGTCAAATATTGCCACCCCGAATTCTAATGTCACAAGACAGAAGTTTGCATTTATATGCCCCGTAAAAATTCTCTTATAAGAAAAAAAAGTCATTACACTTTCTATCATAGTTTTATTTTATTGTTTTATTTGTGCAACAATTAGTTCTTATATATATATATATATATATATATATATATATAATCTTTTTCTTACTTATTAAAACACAACGAGAGGCTAAAATTGTTCCTCCCATTTTATAACTTATTTTGACTTCCTTTATTTTCATACTCAAGTTTCAGAGTAATAGGAGTATGTTTTGCATAAACTTTGTGCCTTGCTGCAAACCACATACTGTGACGTACAAATTTAGACCAAAATAATTACAGACAATTTTCAATTGTTAATCCTTTTTCTAGATAAAGAAATTAAAAGTTCACTAGCCCTTAAAAAGAAGAAAATCCCAAAATAATTTGAAAATCGAATTTTCCTCATTCTATATGGTTACATATGTATACAAGTATATCACTTACTGACAGTATTTGAATCCAACTTCAAAGTTTAATCCCACGATCAAGACTAGCAAAATCAAAATCACATATTATTATTATTTTTTATTCTGACAATGGTTAGTAATTAGTGGAGAAGGGTGATGGAAATCGAAAGAACCTCATTCTTTACCACTGGAAGAACACTACCACACTTGAAGCAAAATAACTTTGGCCAATTGTTTAAATAGACCCATAATCGGTCAAATGTGAAGTTTTGGTCAAAAATCAACAGCCAATGGAGGATTAAATACCTTTTTTAAGAAGTTTAATCCATGAAATTTGGTTCAGTTACCTACCGACTTGAAAGAAGTTTTTGATAATTTATTTAAAAGAAAAAAAAATAAAAAAATTCATTGCCTATATCAGTAAAGTCGACGACATAAAAGCAAAAAAATTATGGTATAAGGAGAACACACGAGGCTTATTTGGCAACCGCTTTTACTTTGATCCGAAATAAAGATAATTTTTTATTTTAGAATGTGTTCAATACTATTTCAAAACTTGTTTGATAAATAAATTTGTTACAATATTTTTTAAAGTATGTTTGATAAAAAGTGTTGCAAGTTTAAAATTTTTAAATTACTAGTTAAAAATGTCATTTTAAATTTTTTATTTTTTTTGAACAGTTTTGAACATTGTTTTTTATGCTTATAATCTTGGCATGTTTTTTGGAAGTGCTTCCATCCTATTCAAATAATAGCAATCGTTACCAAACACGTTTCGCGCTTTTTCTTTGCTACAATACACTAGCAAAAGCAAAAAAATACGAAACAAAAACATTAACCGAATAGGACCTTGAGTCCCTACACCATCCTCACCAAATATGCTACACGCGTGAGACAATTTTGTTATGACACATCATATTTGTATGTCAATATAAAATAATAATAATAATAATCAAAGAGGAAAAAAATTAAAAGTGAGGTGAACCAATTTCATCTTTGAAATATATTATTTTCTTTTATTGATCATGACTTGTAGTGTGTTACATATGTGACAAGGTGTAAATCAATTCAAGGGGTTGGTTCAAGTGACTCGAGAAACACACGTCCAAAGTATAACTTCTCTTAAATGCAAATAATTCTATAAGTCCTCACCGAATTGTTCATTCTAATATATACCCAAATGCTATGAAAGTAACTTATATAGAAACTATTTATCTTTCATTATATATAATTTCAAGCTATAGTTTGCAATCATAAATCATTAGAATGCATATAATTTACCACAACACAATAAAGGGAATCAACATGGAGCTCATAAACGCAAATGAGTTAATAAGATATGTAAAATATTATATCCGAAAGAAGACAGTTTGCTGGAGAGAGGTGATATCAGAATGTTTGGGCATATTCCACTCGAATATTTGCTCCACTCGAAGTACATGCAAAAGTTAATTACAAGAACATTTTTAGATCAAAGTAGAAAAGCCACCACACAAAAAGCACAGAATTGCCAAAGTATTCTTTCCATCTCAAAATCAGTGTTCTTTTCAATGATTCGAATGATTTTTTAGAGAACATTTAACGAGTCACTAAAAAATCCAAAATAAGTCCTCTATTACATTTAAGGAAAATGCTTCTCAGCCCACCCCACTAGGAATTGTTGGACCGAAAGCATTCCCGCCGGCCGGAATGCTTTGAGATGCGTATCGTAACTCTAAATTTAGAAATATAGCTCATTATTAGGAGAGTTTTAAAATTCATTGAAATATTTCTATCGTTTCCGGTCCTCAAATCGTAGGGGTGGCAACCGTTTATGATGAATGAAATGGAATGTTGTTTCACGACAGACAAGGGACCATAAACTATAGTTGTTGCCATTGAGGGCTGAATCAACCCGGGCTGAGTACGAAGAGGAAAGTTCTAAAATTCCAAAAAATTAATATATATATATATATATATATATTGAAAAGTTTACAATCCTCAGATCGTAGGGTGTCGACCATCTATGATGAATGACATGGAATGTTGTTTCACGACACGCAAAGGCTTGCCATTGCGGTCTGAATCAATCAGGACTAGACAACACAAAAGCATTGGTTACTCGATTTCTAAAGTATTAAGTTGACCGGTTCAAGTTCTGGTAGGAGCAAAATGGTGAGAGTTTATTGCCAAGATGAAATAAAAAAAAATAAAATCTATGTTGCCTGACCTGCGGGAAGAACACTGAAAAGATATTGGAGGTTCTTGATTGGAGTTTCTATGAATAGGTAGGAACAGTCAACATTGGACGAAAATCTGGAAACTTGAAACTAGCTTTGCAATGGGTATGTGAAAACCGCTCCACCCGCGAACAAAGCCCAAAAACAAAGGGCAAAAAAAGGACCATTAACATAACCGGACACCAACTACTCCAACTACTTGTGATCACATTGAAATCAAAAAACAAAGCCGCCATTAACATAACCGGACACCAACCACTCCAACAACTTGTGATCACAATGAAGCAAAAAACACAGCCACCACACAGACGGAAGATGTTATGTGGTATTTCATGTTAATAGGTTAAAATTTACATAAATGTTCTAAAGGATTTAGGCCCCCTAGTGAACTACAATAGTAAACTCACTGCCCAAACCACTAGTACAGCTGATGATTACTGGCATGGATACAGGTGCAATTGACCTGTATTAGAATTTAAGACATCAGAGAATAATATAGCATGTTTCCGTTTTTATACCCCTTTTTTTATAAGTAGATCAACCGATTAAATACGAGAAATATGTTTGCCTAGGGGAAGGAGAATAATGATCAAGGGCTGGGGAAGTAAGAACTCATACTACATGGTGATCGAGAATAGCAGCGAAGGTGAAGGCTCCTCCAGTAATATGATGGACCCCTGACAAAAACAACATTCAAATCAAAAACCAATCAAACATCAGCATGAATTGGAGGTACTAAATTTGTGTGCGCGCATGTGCGTGTGTGCGTGCGTGTGAGAGAGAGAGGGACTCTTCAATTCTATAATAATAGTCTCTTCTTAGAAGATGCATGCCCAGATCACCAAAAAGAAAAAAACGAAAAAAAGAAAGAAAAGGAAAGCATTTACTCAATGCTGGTCCCATGTACTATCAGAATAAATGGGAAGGCCGAATAGGGTGCAGATCTCTTTACCATTATTTCACAAGATGGCCTTCCCTTAGCCTCGAACATTTAAACTCACACTTGAAAGTCCAGGATTTAGCCACTAAGCAATGGCCGCTACTAAATTCATGTATAAATTATATAATAACCAGTACCTATAAGTTATAACGTTTCTTCGTTCTCATATCTGAAGGCTCTTTCTGTTTTATTAAGCTCACCAACCAAAAGAATTTGACCATCCATCTGATGCTTGGCTTCTGCACCATCAGCATGGTCTACATATTGCACAAAACCAAAGCCACGCGGTTCCCTGCATCATGATGTATCTTTGAAGTCATAGTATAAATACATCCATACATAGTAATTCATATAAATCACAAGTCCTCCGACTGCCAACAGATGAGCACAAAAATTCAGCTGGCACTATATACAAAATTAAGTAAAACAGATGAGCACAAAAAATCAGCTGGCACTACATACAAAATTAAGTAAAGTAATTATTGGTTGTTAACCTTGCAAGATTCACCTTAAGAAAGACCGATACCATCTCTTTCCTATCCACGATCGTGTGATCTGCACCGATACCTCTAATACTAGGCCCGATTCACTCAATTCCCAAAACTTTGCTAAATTAGGACTTTCGAACAGTTGATGTGTGGAGCACCTCTTTGTGAATAAGCATGTTTATATTATGGTACATCAATATCATATAGGTCGTTCACATATATAAATATTTAAAAAGTTATAAAAGGAATTATGGCAGATCAAAATCATATTTGTCGTTCACACATATAGATATTGAAAAAGTTGAAATAAGCATGCTTATTCAAAAAGAGCACAAAAGAAACAAATCAGAGATCGTGGGTTAGAAGAGTATGCTAGACCCATACCTCTAATGCAAGCATAAACACCAAGGAGAACCTATTTTTTTCAAGTTGTCAAATTCTACATTTTCAACATCATTAAAAAGTCCAAGAACTAACGTTGGGTCTAGCATTAGAGGAAGGGTATTCTAATAATAGTCCAAGAATGAAGATCACATTCCCTAACATTAGAGGTAGGGATATTCTAATACTTTTGACCCACGATCTATTAAAAGAATTAGAATACCCTTTCCCCTACCCCTACATCTAGTCCTAGGTCCGATTCACTCAATTCCCAAAACTTCTCTAAATTATGAATTCCGAATAGTTGATGTGTGGAGCACGTCGTATTAGAGGTAGGGATATTCTAACTGTATTTAACCATTATCTGTCATTTGTTCCTTTTAGAGGTAGGGGAATTCTAATAAAAGTCCAAGAACGAAAATCACATTCCCTGGCATTAGAAATAGGGGTGTATTAACTCCTTTAACGGGTTAAAGAAGTTAGTACACCCCTACCTCTAATGCTAGGCCCGATTCACTCAATTCCTAAAACTTCTCTAAATTAGGAATTTCGGATGGTTGATGTGTGGAGCACCTCTTTGTGAATAAGCATGCTTATATTATGGCAGATTAATAGCATATATGTCGTTCACATAAATAGATATTAAAAGAGTTAAAATAGGATTACAGTAGATTAATATCACATATGTTGTTCACTTATATTGAAAGAGTTAAAATAAGTTACAAAGAGCACAAAAGAAACAAATCACAGATCATGGGTTAAAAGAGTGGAGTATCACTACTTCTAATGCTAGACCCGACTACTCTAAATCAGGTATCTCAATCGGTGGATGTGTCCACATCGAGGGGAATTATCTTTAAAAAAAGTTGGAAGGAGAAGAAATTAGGGTTATGGCCTTCTTCTTCTTCTTTTTTCCCACTTTTAGTTTTATTATTTTTATTTTGACTTTTATATTCAAGCACAAACACCGAGGAGAACCAAGTTGTCAAATTCTACATTTTCAAGATCATTCAAAAGTCCAAGAACGGATCTAGCATTAGAGCAAAGGGTATATTCTAATAAAAGTCCAAGAACGAAGATCACATTCCCTAACATTACAGATAGGGATATTCTAACACTTTTGACCCACGATATGTTAAAAGAATTAAAATACCCCTATCTCTAGTGGTACGATTCACTCAATTCCCAAAACTTCTCTAAATTATGAATTCTGAACGGTTGATATGTGGAGCACGTCGCATTAGAGTAGGGATATTCTAATTGTTTTTAACCATTATTTGTCATTTGTTCCTTTTAGAGGTAGAAGTATTCTAATAAAAGTCCAAGAATGAAAATCACATTCCCTAGTAGTTAATACACCCTACTTCTAATGCTAGGTCCGATTCACTAAATTCCCGAAACTTCTCTAAATTAGGAATTTCGAATGGTTGATGTGTGTGGAGCAACTCTTTGTGAATAAGCATGTTTTTATTATGGTAGATTTTAAAAGCATGCTCATTCAAAAAGAGTACAAAAGAAACAAATCACAGACCGTGGGTTAAAAGAGTTAGAATATCCCTACCATTAAGGCTAGACCTGACTTCTCTAAATCAAGTATCTGGATCGCACATCGTGGGGAATTATTGAAAAAAAAAGGTTGAAGGAGAAGAAAATGAGAGAGAAGAAATTAGGGTTCTGCCTTTTTTCTTTCCTTTTATTTTCTCATTCTATTGTTCTTACATTTTGTTTATTTTTATTTTTATTTTTACTTTTATATGCAAGCACAAAAACCGAGGAGAACCTGTTTTTTTCAAGTTTTCAAATTCTACATGTTCAAAATCATTCAAAAGTCCAAGAACGAAATCCGAACTGTTGATGAAATTCTGGTGCTAGGTTCGATTCACTCAATTCCCAAAACTTCTCTAAATTACAAAATCGAACTATTGATGTGTGGAGCACGTTGCATTAGAGATAGGGATATTCTAATTGTTTTTAACCATTATCTGTCATTTGTTCCTTTTAAAGGTAGGAGTATTCTAATAAAAGTCCAAGAACGATACTCACATTCCCTAGCATTAAAGGTAGGGATGTATTAACTCCTTTAACGGGTTAAAGGAATTAGTACACCCCTACCTCTAATGTTAGGCCCGATGCACTCGATTCCCGAAACTTCCCTAAATTAAGAATTTCGAACAATTGATGTGAGGAGAACCTCTTTGTGAATAAGCATGTTTATATTATGGTAGATTAATATCATATATGTCATTCACATATATAGATTTAAAAGAGTTGAAATAGGAATTATGGTAGATTAATACCATTTATGTCGTTCCCATATACAAATATTAAAAGAGTTGAAATAAGCATGCTTATTCACAAAGAGCACAAAAGGAACAAATCAGAAATTGTGGGCTAGAATACCCCTACCTCTAATGCTAGACCCGATTCACTCAAATTCTCAAAACCTCTCTAAATCAGGAATCTCAATCGGTGGATGTGTAGAGAAGGTTGAGGGGAATTATATGTATCAAAAAAAAAAATAATAATAATAATAAAAAAGGTTGAAGGAGACGAAATTAGGGTTCTGTCCTTTTTTCTTTTCTTTTTTTTTAGTTTGCTCATTCTGTTCTCACGTTTTCTTTTTCTTTTTCTTATATTCAAGCACAAACATCAAGGAGAACCTCTTTTTTTTCTTCGTTTTTTTTTTTTTTTTTTGCATTATACCTTAAAAGACCAGCGGGTGGTCAGAGGTTTTTCATTGGGGCTTCTATAAATTGGTAGGAGCAGTCAATGTTTGATGAAAAGCAGGAAACTTGAAAGTAGCTCTACAATTGGTAGGCGTGTTTCACTGACCATCCACAAACAAAGCCCCACCAACAAAGGGCAAAATAAGACCGTTAACAAATAACTGGACACCTACCACTCCAACAACTTGTGAATCGTGATCACATTGAAGCAAAAAACCACAGCCACCACCACTCCAACAACTTGTGAATCGTGATCACATTGAAGCAAAAAACCACAGCCACCACACGTAGATAGAAGCTTCAATATGCTATTGGATGAAGTGCGAAAAACACCCTTATAGTGAATATGGTACACCCCTTGTTGTTTCTAAACACCCCTCACGTAAAATTTAGGTGCAAATGAGGGCCTGACATTAGTCGACCATGGATGGAATCTTGAAAAGAATAAAATACCCTCCCTCACTGAATTAAAAAAAGAATAAAACATAAGCATTATGTGAAAAGACAAAAATGGGCAAGATTAGACATGTGTCTTCACTTGCCCCTAAATCATCCCCCACCCATGCACAAAACCCAATTCAGACAACCCATTTCTCTCTCTAAATCCCGTCTTTCATTTTCTCTCTCTACACTGACTGAACCAGAAGCATTCATTACTCGAAACCCTCACTGTAGACAAACTTCGACAACATGCCCTTGAGTGAAGAAGGTGACTGTCTTGAAGAAAACGAGTAGTTCTGGGTGGAATCAAACAACAAAGAGTTGGGTAGAGAGAATTTGTTGAGGAGAGACACAAACCTTCGAGTGTGGAACGGAGGTCGGTATCAGAGATGGTGCCGTTTCGGGGGGCAAGGAGAGAGGAGAGATTGGAAGTGCCAGATTGGATGAAACTGACAGACGTTGTTCATGTTGTGGTGGTTGTGAGTTGTGGCAGCGGAATAAGATGCGGAAGTTTATATTAAAAAAACCTAAAAGGGGTGAATAGGTTCAACTTGTTCTTTTATCCGATTTTTGCTTAAATTAAATTTATCGAAATAAAAGTAAATTAATCAAAGCAAAAATAAATGCAAGTAAAGTTAAAGTGACACCAGATTTTAGCGAGGAAGCCAATTGGAAAACCTTGAGGTTTTGTGTGCTGTCTCAAGCATAAAAAGATCCACTATGTATGAAACAAAGTACACTGATCTTTGACTTAGACTCACACCCCTTCACTCTACCAAGACCCAACTCGCTGAACACTCCTGGCTTTGCGACTCCCTCGTCCAACAGCTCTCGACTTCAAACTTACTCCTTGAACCTTGCAAAATAAAATCAGAAAAATCATATTTACTCCCCGTCCAACACTTCGCAAAGCACCTTGACCCTTTCAAAACACCTTTCTTTTTCAAATTTGAATTTGTTGTAGAATAGATCTGTTTTTCGGAATTTCTAAATCTTCAATTATGCTCCAATTCCGATGAGATAGAGAACAACACTACTAAATCACTCTTGTGTTTATGTGTGTGCTCTCAAAACTAAAATCAGATTTGATTTTCTGAAAAATATCTCTCAAAAGGCTTTCTCAAAATAATGAATTTTTGTTCCTCAAAGCCATACCTCAATGTTGAATCAAAGAGAGATTATATAAAAATTTGGAAGGCCTAAATATACTTGGAAACCAAGTCAATTTCGTGCATAGGTTTTTGGAAAGAAGTCTACCCACGAAAGGAATCAAAACAGACCATACCAAAACAAATCTGAAGGCCTTGAACCGGTTCAGGAAAGTGGAACCCGGTTCAAGATGGCCAGTGTAAAATTCGAAGAATTCTTTTGATTCTTGAATCGGTTTAAGATGGCATGTCTTGAAAAATACCAAAAAGCCTCAAATGTTGAACTTGTTCCAAGATTCTTGAACCAATTCAAGTTGGGCAGAATGTAAATTCTGTTTAAAACCTTAAGTTTCAACCTCCCAAGTGTACTCACACTCTCTTACCTCTCTAAAGTATTGTTCCCATCATCCCAGAGTGTATCGAAGCATGAACACAATTACTTCTTCAATTCCGCTTTCGATCTTGATTCTTGACAAATCAAACTGAAAATTTATTACTCAATCGGACTCATTTTGACAACAAAATATGCCAATTACAAATTTATATCTCACAGTGGTTAGTTGCAGAAGCCATATGAGATGGTTCTGTGTGTTGGTTGAGATTCCCTTTGTGAATTAAAGTTACTATAAGTCTATGACTCCCAGAATCGAAAAAGAAAAGAAAAGAAAAACTAAAATAAATAATAAAATAAATAAAGAAAAGGGATCAAAATAGTTACTGGAAAATTGGCCATGAATTTTCTACACACTAGTTGTGAATTAAAGTTTTTTCATCTAATTTTATGTTAATCTTGGAACCCAATTTACGCTAATTTTCTGTGTTTTGGTGAATAACGACGCAAGAGAGTGATGTGGGAGTAGAGAGAAACAATAGAGAGAGTGAGAGAATATCGTTAAGAATATTATTGGAAGAGAGAAAGGGCATTTTCGATCACGTCTCCTAACGGCACACGGACGGCAAGCCCTTGTTGGCAACATTTTTAAATACAATATAGATTTAAATTAACAATAGAAACCATAAGGGTTTAGATGCAATAAATGTGAACCATAGTGGAGTTTTTTGTACTTCCCCTATGTTATTTATGTTAATGGATTGAAATTCGCATAAATGTTCTAAATGGTTTAGGCCCTACTCCACTCAATTAGTTACTATCTATTGTCATTCCATTAGTAAAGTTTTATAAACAGAAGTTAGAAGACTCTGATGCCATTGCAAATAGAATGGGAAAAAAGAAAAAGAAGATGACGTACAACATTTGAAGTGGTGTTGCTATTTGGATGGTTCACAAAATGAAACCGAATGTAAGATATTTTTCACATTTAGAAAGTTGGATTGAAAATCAACTAAAACACAAACAAATTTCAATTGTGCCGAGGAATCAAACTTTAATCTAACCCAAAGTTGTCACCTATTTTCTATTTCCCTTGAAAGGTAAATAAAAAAACATAGAGCCCTCAACCTCCCACCATTTAGTGAATAAAGGTTATATCATTCAGATTAACGGACCAGTGGTGTCAACGTGATCGTGGCATAAATTACATATATAAATGTATCCTACGCGTATCTATCTTAACAGCAATTCTGTTCTTTGGAAGTCAAATCCTATTCCATAAAAGTTATTTCTAGTACTTCATTGTTTAACTTGGATTGGGCGAGAGCCAAAAATAAGTCGTCCTATTCCATACATGGGCCAGAGCCAAAAATGATCATGCATTCAAGGATAAATTAATAAAAGAAAACCTAGAAAATGAAAGCAAGTTGTGGTTTTATGACTTTCAAATTCCACGTTTTTGTTTACTGCAAATTAATAAGTTTCGAATGATTACCTACTATTATGACATCTTTTGCGATGTGGACTCAATTCCACGTTTTTGTTTACAGCGAATTAATAGATAGAAATGATTAGCTTAAATGAACAATCCATGATAAAGACTAAACTCTCCTGATAGTATCTATCCATATGGTTCAACTATTTCTCTCTAAAGAAACAAAATAAATCCACTGACATAAAATTGAACAATGTTTCAAAACATTGAATCAATAGGGGTGTGTGAGTACCAACTAGGAAAAATGATGATTTCATTTGTTTTCTTAATAAAATACAAACAAAAATAAAAATAGAGCAGTGATATGTTTTCCCCACACTGAAGCATCAGTGGCAGACAGCCTGACACCCATTCGGTATTCTAAATTGGCCATGTGGTCGGTTCATAATTCATGTTTCCATGGAAGAACAAAACATGCTTCATTCCAAGTTCATACCCAAATACACAAAGAAATAAAATTACATGCCGACTGTAATGACACAAAACTAGATATTAAACTCTACTACTATTGACCATTACTGCAAAAGAAACCAACAAAAAGAACAACCATCAGAAGGAACTCTTATAGATAGAAAATTAATAAATAAATAAATTCGGTAATGAGATACAATGACCTCAATTCATATCATATCTATGACAAACTTTAGAAATCCAATGTGTCATATAACATATGGTATAAGCAACAGTAAACTTTAGTTATCAGAACACACCTGCAATCATGGCCGGAACAAAAGATAGGTACGAAAATCTCCAACACGACCTTCATAGTAACTTAAACTTGGACCCCTCACTGTATGGGGGAAATTAGTAAACCCTAACACAACAAAACATGAGAAGCTAATCACATCACAAACTAAAACCACATCATAACCAACTAGCGTAACAGATTATTTTCTTTTATTTCTTTAATTCGTCTCTCACAAATCAACTCATCTGAGCCATAAAATTGCACATCCCTTGGTGTCATATTGTTCCAACGCTTTTGAGAAGGGAAAGACAGATTTTAAAGAGGTGGGACTCATATTTTTCTCGGCAACCAAACAAAACATGAAAGAGAAAAAACAGGACAAGAAAAAAGTGAAGTCAGTCAGTAACCACAATGGTGCAATTTAATTAAATACAAGGTGCATAATAATAATAACAAATTAGTTAATTAAAGAAGATGTTATTGTTTGAAAAAATAAAAGAACGAAAATAAGAAATTAAAATGTATCCGTCCAAGTTTCAATGTAATCAAACAAACCCTAAAGCGTACAATTTCATAAATTCCTCATTAGTTCATATAATAACCCTAAAGCGTAAAAATTCATATAATGATCACAATAACAAGTTGAGAAAAAACAATAAAATCAGTCCTGCCCTATTGCTTGAAGAAAATAAATTTGCAATAGTCAATCAATGCCTATCAAATAGAATAGGTCTATCACAAATTGAATTTCAATACTAATATATAATTATATATACACATATACAGTGAGAGAGATCAGGTCAGAAAAACACTTCGGTCTCCAAATATTACCGCGATTCGTAACTTTCGCCAAGCAACTCCCTGCGTGTGAGAGAGAGAATTTTCAATACGCAATAGGGATGTCAATTTTTACCGTCCCGCCCCGTTAATAACGGATATGGGAATACTTTTTATACTATTAGGGGGTATGGATACAAATTTTGTACCCGTCGCGGGTCACGGGGCGGAGCGGATAAGGGTTCAGTATACATATCTTAGGGGCCCCGCCCCGCCCCACTAAGTATATAACTATATTATATATATATATATATATATATATATATATATATATATAAAAACTTGGTATTAAATTTGCTTTTGTTTTGGTTATGGTAGAACTTCTTGTGATTTGGTTGTATTAAACTTTTATTTTTATTTATTATGTTATCTGAATTATGTTATGTGCATGTTATTTTTTTTTATTTTTGTTGCGATACATAATTTCATTTATGTTGTGCCATTTCCAGACTTTCCACATTCAAATAGCAGGAGCTTAAGTTCCAAAAAGTGGAAGAAAAAATTTGTTAGCGGGGCAGACATGGGTGTACAGTATTCCCAATGGAGCGGGGCTGAACATGAAAATCCAACCCGTCGAGAGTCTCGAGGCGACCATGGACTTGACAAAAATTAAAAAGGGTGGGGCGGGATTTAGGGAAACCGCTCCAAACCCGCCCCGTTGCCATCCCTATTATGCAACTACGCTATGGTAATAATGTTGCGTATTCACTAACCTATATATCATACAGTAATGTTGTGTATTCACTAATCTGTATATTATGCGGTAATACTGCGTATTTACTAAGTTGCCGTATTCACTAAGCTATATATATATCATACGGTAATATTGCGTATTCACTAAGCTGTATATTATATGGTAATATTGCGTATTTACTAAGCTGTAATATTGCGTATTTACTAAGCTGTATCTACATATGGTAATGTATGATAATTACAGAAAGCAATATACCGCCGTTGTAACGGCTACTTTTTTATATTTGGGGGGCTCAGGAAGCTTCTGGGGGCAAAGGTTAAGAATTGGGCTCTATAGTGACTGATCCGCTATGGCCCATGGAAAGAATTGCCCGTTTGTTTCTGAGCCAGTACTATACGCCACTTTACTCTCAAAGCCCATATCATTAAACACAATTCAAAGGGCGTTACCTTTCAGGGGCCCACTAGACCACCTCCGCAAACAATGACAAATCTTTGGAGCCCGACTACCGCAAAAAATAAAAAAATAAAAGCCTTTGGAGCCCGACATGTGGGGCCAATTCTAATATTATTGTCGTTGTGCTCTTATTTTTTTGTTCTAATTTTTCTATTCCTAAATTTTTGTTTAAAGAAATTTGATGAATATTTAAAAGCACAAGCTATATTATTGGTGTTTCTGTAGATGCAGATATTATTTTAACACAATGTGACACATATACACGCTCTTAACTTTATCTCAGCCCACTTTCGAGTTAACAAGCAATTCACTCATTCATTAAAAAAAAAAAAAAAATTTATTCAATCATTGTAATCTAAGGTTCTGTTTGATTAGATAAAAATAGTAAGAAATGAAAAGAAAAGTAAAGTGAATAAAAAGAATATTGATTTTCTAGTATGTATTTGATTATAATGAAAATTTCTTCTAGAAAATGATAGGAAAATATCGTTTGTATACCTAAATTATTCTTATTTTATAAAATAATAAAGAATTAGTAATAAAATATATTTAAAAAAATGATAAAGTTTTCAATTAATTTAGAATTTTTTAAGTACTATTATTCATATATGATGAAAAATAACTAAGAATGAAAGTAAATTAATTAAAAATTTACCAATGATAAAGTTGTTAATAGACTCCAATTATTTGAAACGTAGTAAAAAATTGTTATTGTTTCCAAATATAAAATGAACATGTTGGGTAAAATAGGAAAATTAAATAAAAAAGCATGCTTTAATAGGAAACCGTGTTTTGTGAAGGAAACATTTTGGAAAAAATAATGGGTTACAAAAACCCTAATTTTCTATCTAACCAAATTATAAAAAAGTTTTAAAATTTTCTATTTCCTTTCTTTTCCGATTGATTCTATCTGACCAAACGAAGCCCAAGTGATTCTTCACCTTTCAAAAAGTTAAGGGTTCAATTTTTTATAAAAATAAAGTGTGTGAGTGTATTTTTTACTAAGGTAAATTATATTATTATTATTATTAATAACATAAATAAATAAATTATCATTTTTAGAAAAAATGCTTTAGTTCCTCAGTTCCTCTACTAAAATGGGACATTTCATCATTTAGCATTTTGAATTTAAAATAAAAATTAATTCATCAATTTAATGCAATCAAACGTAACATAAATATTTTTTGTTAGGTCTTTAGAGCGATTTCATATTAAGTTCAACAACTTGCATTTGCCTGATTATGCTATTATTATTGTTTTCTACTTCTTTTTTAACCTTTTATTACAACTGAAAAAACAAACATGCCATGCAATACATAACATGCACACATTTTTTGAAATAAAAAGGGCACACACAAAGAGAGGTATTTATTTTTTATTTTTTTAAAGGGAGTTCACACTGTACGTACAGTCTGTACTACATGCATGATTTAATTAACCCTTCAATTGTTGACCTTGAATTGGAGATAAATGACATTATAATAGTGTTATCTCCACCATCATAAAATAACTAAACGTGTTAGACTCTTGACGTGCTTTTATTATTTTTTATTTTATGTCTACTTTAAGCTAATGTGCTGTGAAGGAAGACCCGAAACAATGACATCCACTGAAACCGCAAAAATAAAATATATATATATATGTATAAATAAATAAATAAAAAGTAGTATTTGGATTTTGGAATATTCACTTGTCTTGATGCACTAGGAAAGACATGCAACTTAATTTTATTTTATTTTTAAAAAAATTAATATGATTAGTTCTAAAGCTGTGTGTTACAGCTTGAGTCGATTTCATACAGTAGCAGAGCTGAATCATTGGAGTGAGTCGCCGGTCAAGTCTACTAGTCTTACCGGTTACCACGTTTCTTTGACAAGATATTTCAATTCACACCTCAATAATTCAAAGTTCAAGCCCCCCCTAGGTCCACATGCGCTGGTCCGCTTTATTTGTCATTTTCTGGTGGGTTCAATTTTACTTAAAAACAAAACAGTTTCTTTATTTTTTTTATATCAGTAAGCCGATCTCTAATATAACATTCTTTACCACTTGAACTCGTAACGTTTATATTGCACCTTGAGTCATCTGGCTTTTTTCTCAGGGCGGGGGAATTACATATTGTGACTGGTCTGCATTCTTGACAAGTTTTAGAAGCGAGCCAGTTCTGATCGGATCAATAATTAGGTCTAATTCTGATACTAACTGTAACGAGTAAGCGCTTACCCACTTATTCAAAAATTTAATTTATTAAATAATGTTACATACCTACCTATTTATACTCATTTCACTTTTCACCCGAATTCGTTGCGACACAAGTACCCCTTGTAGCAACTTAACTCATACTGTTAGCAAAATTGTCAAACTAAAGGAGACGCAAGTGGTCGAGGTAGGTGACTTGGCATCACAGAGCGAGATATTTTTAATTAATTGTTGTTATTTTGCGTGCAAAGTGGCTAATTATTTTTAATGTCTTGTTAAATGCATGGCTCTTATATAAAGTCAGTTCATCTATTATATATACCATACCCTTGGACCTGGGTAGTCCATAAACTCTAGAGCAGATAGAGCTAAGCAAATTACAGTATTATTCACACGATGATTTGCTCAATGGCTCAGGTAGGCAGCTTCATGCCCAAGACCTTGCTCCTTATGCCCACCTCCAAACCCTTTCAGCGCAGAAATATGATTATGTAAGTCAGTAATTTCAGTTGGGTTTGGATATTTTCTCAGCTTCATTAACAGATTCATCGATCCTTACATTCAGCTTCATTTCCTAGCCCTTTTTTTTTTTCTTTCTTCTTCTGCTTTTTCGATCTTCTTCTCTCTATGTGGATCTTTCTTTCTTTTTTATATTATAATTATTATTTATTTTAACATGATGAATCATTATTTGTTTGTTTGAGGATTATATTAATTATTCATGATAATAACTAACACTCGTCCTTAATATTCTTTTTATTATTATTATTATTTTGGGTGCAAGATGCGCTGCAAATCCGAGGCCAAAGGTCATTCCGGGAAGAAATCCTCCACAAACCAACCGCGAGCTCACTTCAATTAATGACGAGAAAATAAGAAAAAGTAGCTTGGGTAACAAAGAAGATAATAAAAAAGCCAAAGGAGATGATGGCAGTGCGGTGAAGAATGAGGCCACCGATCACTAATGCAAGTTGGCTAGAGTTTATTATATATATATCTATATTAGAATAATTAATATATAGTTAGTTTGAAAGGTGCGTTTGTGAAACTACATGTGATGTGATCATGTGAGTCATGTGACTACTGTTGTAATATATGTTTGAACACTATTTTTCTTTTTCTTTTTTCTTTTTTTTTTGTCCTTTTTGGTTCGTAGGAGTATATATAGCAGATGTACAAGATATACTCCTTAGTACCGTGTGTGGTGGGATGTTTCGTTCTGCATGGAATAATTATGATTTGCATAGGGGTATCTAATATGTTACAGTAATTTTTTTGTTTACAGGTTGTGGTTTTTATTTTAAACTTTTCCAAGTCATTATATTTCCCAAAAATTCTGAGATGCCAACTTATTTTATTTTCTAGTAATTTATAAACAAGTATATTGTCGAACTATTTTTGGTTTCAATTAATCCCTTTATCTTTTAAAAATGGATTGCACATCTTATTTGGCTGAGTGGTATGTATTTCCACATTGCTCGTTTTTCTAATTATGAAGCATGGCTAAGCGATCCTATTCACAATGGCCCTAGTGTGCAGGTGGTTTGGCCAATGGTGAGGCACTACCTAAGAGTATATCTAATGCAAAATGTTTTTTGTCCATACTAAGGTTATATTTTGAGAGTAGCTACAATGTGAAAATGCTATATTTTAGCAATTCTGTTTCAATGGTGCATTTCATTCAAAATGCTATTTGGAGTATATTTTTTTCATCTATATTTTGAAAAATGGCACTGTATGAGAAAAAATAGACCTCTCAAAAAATTTTGAGAGTTGCTATATATGGCAATACTTTTACTAATTTCAAAATAGAGGAGTTTTTTGAGAGCCCATTGAAATGTTATTATTTTTATTCACCTACTATTATTTGATTTTGAGAAGGCTTTGGAGATGCTACAAGGGCATATATGATATTCCTATATATGGAAGCACAACCTCCAAAAGCCCGAAGGCAACAAGGACCCAAGGCCCAAAGCCCAACACAGGCTAACAAACCTACCGACAAGCCTCCACCTAAACTAACAAGAACCATTGAACAACTAGCCACCCATGGTAAAGAGAAGAAGGAGCAACAGACAACAGAAGAGAAACCGGGGCTACGAAGAAAGGTCAACATCCCTAGACATTGTGCTAGGGAGTTTCCATTTATTACCTTGCTAGACGACAATCTTTGATATCTTAAGAAACACCGACTTTGACACAAGTTTTTTTTTTTTTTTTTTTTTTTTTTTTTTAAGGCGTTTTCTAACAAATAGGAGTCATCTTAAATTCATGTAAAGAAATAATTATGTTATGACACATCATCTCTCATTGTCAATTAAAAAAAATATCAAAAAGAAAAAAGAATGGAAATCAGGTGAGTCCAGTTCACATTTGAATGGCATTATTTTATTATTTTTTATTTTTTATTGATGAAGGCACGTGATAACAAAATTGTTTCACGTGTATATATATGATGAAAATAGTGTAGGTTTTTACTGATGAGGACTTAATGGTGCTGTCACTTTTGTGATTACGTATTTGATAATTTCGGATTAGGTTTAGAAATGTATAAGAAATGAATGAAAAATTATAAATGGGTAAAAAATATAAACTAATATTATACTAGCATGTTTATCAAAACATTTACAATTGGCTATAATGGCATTATAACTTATAATGCCTTGATAACTTATAAAAGGAAAAAAAAAAAATTTGATAATTTGTTTTACTTTGTTGACTGCTGTCCTGATAAGATAGGTTTAAATAAGTTGTGTAAACTTCATTTAGACTCATGTACTTTGTTTATGCACTATGTCAAATCGTTGTTTTTTTTTTTTTTTTTTTTGACACATGTCAAATTCCAGCTCAAATAACGGCCAAAGATGATGAGATATATCTCGTGCTGACATCATCAACAAAAATTATTCTTAAAACCTGATTTACAGTCCTCATTTCCAGATGCGGCGGTGCCTTCCATGAATTTTTGAAGTGCGAATTTTACATTTATTAATTTACCTTTTAATCTTTTTTGTCTTGTAAAAAAAAAGTCCTCATTCCCTCCGATTCATTTAACAAATTAAACATATTCCTCTAGTTTACTAATTCTAACTGTTAAAATTTATATGTCCTGACATAACAAATTCCTATTTGGCTCTCGCAATATATCTCAACCTAATGCGGATTCAGTTCAAGTCTTAATTAATTCTGAAATATTTATACTTGATACAATTGGTAAATTCAATGTATTATGTTTCAATTTATTATAGAATTGATAGTGTCCACTTGATTACAAGAGATATTTATATATGTATGTAATGGCGATCAATACATAAATATAAATAATGATCATAAATTGTTCATAGTTGGTAATTATTGATGGACTCAGAATTAATTAAGACTTGAACTGAATCCGCATTAGGTTGAGATATATTGCGAGAGCCGTCGTATGCAATTGTTCCTTATCACTGTCATGGTATTTGACTCTTAAGCATGAGAAAAGTATAAACTCTTTTATTAATTAATAATTATTTGATTTGTTCGGTGGATATTTCGGGATCCTTAAACCGACACTTTAAATAGTTATGTAATTAATAATTAGAGAATTATATTTTCAATATTTGCATCATTGCTACTTGTATTTATTTTGTATTGATTATGGTTGATCACAATGTAAATTCGAATGCCTTCGTGTGTTTTTAGACAAAATAATTTATTATGTATTTATTTATTTAAATTATTATTTTTGTCAAACAAATATTTTATTATGATCGAGCCGGAAATAATCAAAGGTACCAAAATAAATATATTAATTAAGTAGTTGGATTGATGGCTTTATTTATCCGATAACTAATTATGCATAAAAGGGTCAAAGTGCAATATTGACTTAGAGGTTATTTATTATTTAATTGGAGTTCAATTAATTTCTTTTAGTGGAGTAGAAATTAATTTATGAATTAATTAAATTGGGTCCATGGACCGGGCTAATTATTAATTCATTGTAACCAATAAAATAATAAGTCCAAAAGATTCTCACTCATAACCCAACTTGATATTGGAATCCTATTAGATTTAAGAGATGTGAATTAGAGATTGATAATGATTTATTATTTCTTTTTCTTTATCTTTATGTTGCCTATATATATACATGGTCTATGTATATTTTAGGGGTGATTTTTGGAAAAAGTAAAAAAATGAATCTATTTTCTCTCTCTAAAAAATTAGGGTTAATGTTCTCATCTAATGGAGGCTCCCACAAGCCTAGTTTTTCAAGGTCATTCATGGAGGCTTATGAGTGATTTCTAAAGGCAAAATAATTACCAAGAAGATGGAGGTGCAAGGAGAATGCATCTTGTTAAGGGATCTACAATAAGTGAGAACATTCGCTTTAGAGGAAAAATTTAAAGGTTTACTCAGACCTTTGATGTAAGTATTCAATAAATTAATTGAATGATACATCATATTTTATTTTTACATAAAACTTGTCTCTATGTGATGAATTAAGATCCATGAATCAAAATCCCTCAAAAAGTTTTTAAAACTTACACGTTTCCCAACACTAACAACACCAGTATTCGTGCAGCACTTGGATTTCAAATTTCTTTGACTAAAATAAATAAACATATATTGCATAAAATGCCGGAGATTGCTCAAACCCTCATAGCCACTCGAACGCAACACCGTTTTGATCATCAACAGTCATGTCATTATCACTCCGACAACGTTGAAGGTCAACATCTATCTTTGAAACCCTTTGATTGCAACTTTGATGTTGACGTCATAGAAGAAATTCTCACCGTTTTGCATTTCTAATCAACATATTACCCAATCACTTCAAATTGTAAACTCCCACCTTACAAAAATATCGAATAAGACATAAATTCTAAAGCTAATAATTGAAACCATAACTCATGCCCTCTAATTCAATAAAAAGATAATTTTAGTTTTTATTTCTCTCTACCTTCACAGCATTCGAGAGAAACATAAATGGATAGGAAAAACTCTCATGGGCAAACGACAACAAGTATACCAATCGCATTCTTTATCTATATTCCTCTATTTGTGAATCCATTAATTTCTCTCCATAAACCAATAACACACACTCTGACAAAATTAGAATCTTTAATAGTGCTGTATAACGTGTGATCGATCGGAATAAAGTGTCTTTTGGTCAAAGTTATAAGACTCTAGAGTGTTCTTAATAAAATAATTATTTTAATACAAGGGTAAAATAATAAATGCACTACTTTCGTTAATTGGCAATGGATGATTAGGAGATCTGACTGAAGATTTGCAAGCATAGAGGTCTAATTGATGTATAGACAAAGAATATGGGGTCTAAATAAATTTTCTTCTTAAGGAAAACAAGGGTTAGGCCGAAAACACGGGGTTTTATAGAAGTTTTCAGTAAATAGACCCGGTCCGTGTAGAAATTTAAATAGACTTGGGATGGGAATGAATTTGCTTATTAAAAAAAACAGAAAAATTTGTGAGGGAAGGAGACAAGGTTAGGGAATGATGACTCGTGTATTAAAATGCAATGTTATATTTTTATTTTAAATTTATTAATATATATCAAATACAGACATAATTTTGAAGTTCATTGTTTTGACTGTGTGTGATTTTTATTATATAATTGTTTTTATTGGATGTGATATAAACTATATTATGACATAATGGTAATAAATAGTTTTTTTTTTTAAAGAAAAGATCAAAGACGAGATGGAGTAACCAATGGGACAGAGTCTACGTGGATTGATGTATAAATGTAAAGGAAACGGAATGGGTTTTTCTTATGGGTGGGACTTGGATGGGCCTAACCCGAGCAACCGGAGTCACACTCGAAAATTTTACCAAAATTGGTAACGTACTTGAGACAATGTGATTAGGCTTAAACTTTGAAACCTAAATTTGTTTTGAGTAGGATTTGGACAAAGATTTTAGTAATCAGAGCAACATTAGGAACCACGATTACAGTAAAAGTTTAAATTTTTTCTATTTTTAGGGCTATAAATTGGTTATGTAAAATAAACTTAAATTTTCATTATTTATAAAAAATATGGCAAAGTCCAATAAACCCCCTCTGACTTTCACTCTTTTTTCACTAAACCTCCCTTGACTATTTTTATTCCAAAAAACCTCCTTCAACTATCAGAGGGAGGTAACGGAATCAACTAGACGTTAACTGAGAAGGCAAAAGTGTACATTAATTGTTTCCCAAATATTTTTGAGACAACAATACATTAATTGTTTCCCAAATATTTTTGAGATAAC